GCTCAGATGAAGTACATCCTGGTGACGGGCGGGGTGATCTCGGGCATCGGGAAGGGGATCATCGCCAGCAGCATCGGCACCATCCTCAAGTCCTGCGGGCTGCACGTCACCTCCATCAAGATCGACCCCTACATCAACATCGACGCGGGCACCTTCTCCCCGTACGAGCACGGTGAGTGGCACCGGGCCTTGCTGGGCCGGGGTCTTCCCGGTGGGTCCCGGGCGGGCCCTGCCTGGCAGGAGCCAGCCCCTGTGCCTGCTGGAAAAGCTCGTGTCTGGTCCTGCGGGTGGGACCTGCAGGCTGAGTTTTGAGCCGTTCCAGACCGGCTGCCTGGGCTGAGTGTGCCAGGAGCAAACAGCAGAGGTGTGCTCTGTGCCTCTTGCTGCTGCCTGGCTGAGGGTTCCAGGCCTCACTCGAATGGTCCTCTTGGCTGGGTAGGGTTTTAGTGGTATTTGCCACTTCTAAACCTGCTGTAGCAATCAGAGGTGTTTTCTTACATTGAGCTCTTCTAGCTGTCACAAGCAAAACCAACACATTGCTGATGTGGACTGTTTCTCCTTGATATATGTGCTTGTGCCTTTTTCCTGTGTGGCACAGGGGAGGTGTTTGTGCTGGATGATGGAGGGGAAGTGGATCTGGACCTGGGTAACTATGAGCGCTTCCTTGACATCCGACTCACCAAAGACAACAACCTGACTACTGGGAAGATCTACCAGTATGTAATCAACAAGGAGAGGAAGGGAGACTACCTTGGCAAAACTGTCCAAGGTGACGTGAATCTTCATTCCTGATGTTTGGAAATATAATCTGTATTTCTGTCTTTGTGTTTTTACGTTTTCTCCGGACTTGAGGCCTTTGTTCTGTGCTGTCCTTGTGGTGTTTTTTCTTTTTTTAAGGGAGAAGTAGGAGAGGCAGGAGTGCAGCTGTAGTGGTGTGTGCCATACTGGCTCGTTACCCCAACACGTTCCAGTGCTCAGCAATATGCTGCCTGTTGTTGGAATGGAACCAGACTTTGGTCTGGTTGTCTAAGGTAGCCAATACTAAATGTGAACAGGCTTCAGACTAACACACCTGTGGATTATTTGTTAGTTGGTTAAAATGGTTTTTGATTTTGGTAACTGTTGTGTAATTAGAAAATCCAAGGGATCTTCAGGATCAGATCAGTTCCTTTCCTTTTTGAGCATCCTTAGTAGCTGGTTTGGATACAGATTTTTATAGACAGTGTAAAACAGAGTAACTCTCTCTCCTTAGACCAAAGAACAGTTTGTACTTGGGTCTTGCAGCTCAAAGGAAATGTTGCTTATGTGTGTTTAAATTGAGGCAGGATTACATTTCCTGCCAAGGCACTTCTCTTGAAAATCACAGCCAAGAATAATCACTTAAAAAATGCATACTTCTTTAAAGGCACAAATCAGTCCTGAAGTATGGGAAGCCCTGACTAGCTAGTTTCAATAATTCATTCTGTAACGAGTTACAGGAATAAATGTGTGTGGGTTGTGGTGTTAACCCTTGCCTGGCTTTCTTTTTCAGTTGTTCCCCACATCACAGATGCTATACAAGAATGGGTGATGAGGCAGGCACGAATTCCTGTAGATGAAGATGGCATTGAACCTCAAGTTTGTGTGATTGAGGTTTGTAGCTCTTAAAAAAGAATAGTCTTGCTTCTTGTATGGAATGAGCTGAGCTGTGTGCATATTTTGAATAGTACATGTTTTTTACAGTAATGTTCAACACTGTGTGTTGTCGTATTTTGAATAGTACATATTTTTTACAGTAATGTTCAACACTGTGTGTTGTGTTGGTTAAAAACCCTCTGTGCTAGCCTCACTTATTCAGTCTAGTCTTTTGAATGCTCTGTGTCTGAATCCACGTGTAGAAAGACATGGGTCTTGGACAGTTACATTTTTGAGATACTTTGCTCTCTAGTGTAATGTGAATTAGTCCATTTTAGCTCATATAGGTTTACAGCAAAGTCTGAGTTAATCGTGCTGGGACCTCTCTTCCTTGGTGGGTAACTCCCTCTCTGGAAGCAATTGTCTTTCCTCCTTAGCAGTGAAGGAAGCCTTGGAGTGACTAGATCAAACATGGAGCTAGAAAAGGGAATGGTGTGAGTTAGTGCAGCTTCTTGTGCACTGTATGGGACGTTCTACTGCCCAGGGAGACAGAGCAGGGGGAGGGCTCTGAGCCAGGGCTGCTGAGTTGGCTGGCAGGATAGGCTGGTATGGGAGAGAGGGAGCTTGCCAGATTGCCTGGGTCATGGTGACTTAGGGCTCTGTCTGCAGCTCGAGTGCCAACTTCTGTTGCAGGATTCACAAGCCTGGATCCTGAGTGCCTTGAGGCTCTGACAGCTCATGGGAGTCTGTTGGTGCTCCAGAGAGAGCCTTGTGTCTCTGTTCCTGCATGTGTCCAGAACCACTCTACATGGTTACTAAAACTTTGCATCTCTGTGCCACCTGATGTTCATAAATTGTAATTTTAACACCTGAATATTTTCCCTGAAGAGATGATATAAAGGTGAAGCTAATCTCCCCAGAGAGGTGCTGCCCATATGAGAAGCTGTTTTTCTTGTGGCTTTTTGATTTTTTTGGGGAAATTATGAAGGTAAAATAATAGCTGGGGTAGATCAGAGGCTGTGAAAGTAATACTTAAAACTGGCAAATCCTGCTTTTCACATTGATGTTGATGCTTCTTTAGGGACTTGGAGGGAGGTGCTGGGGAGATGTTTTAGTGTCTGTGTTGTAGTGTCCTTCTATGTATGTTTTAGTATGTGTTACCATACAGATTCCATTGGTGATTTTTTTGTTTGTTTTAAGACATTTAATTCTAAATCTCCTTGTGTTTTTTAGCTTGGAGGGACAGTGGGTGACATTGAGAGCATGCCTTTCATCGAGGCCTTCCGCCAGTTCCAGTTCAAAGCCAAAAGAGAGAATTTTTGTAACATTCATGTCAGTCTAGTTCCCCAGGTAAGGGCCTACAATGTTTTTGTGGTCAGGGGCTTCTGCAGTCCAAAAATTGCTTTCTAAATATGTGTTTCTGATACGCTATATCTATAGGTACTGTTAAGTATATATTTATATATATAGAAACTTCTGAAAGAAATGCAGAGACTCTATGGCTACCTATTTTAAAAAGTTCACAAGAAATTAACAGAAATTTTCAATGTATGTCAATGTGTGATAAATATTTGGCAGCTGCATCTTTTAAGTGCTGTTTTTTTCTATGGAATCATCACCCATCTTTTGCAGGTAAGCTTGCTTTCTAAGGGCTGAAAACTTTCAGTTTCCCTTCATTTGTATAGCCTTTCATTTCTGCAAAGCTAGTATAAGAATCACTGATGTAGCCAGACTTCACAACCATTTGGACCTATTAATAAGACCATATTCCAAACCATTCCTGGAGTTCTTTAATATTTCTTTTGCTGTGTGCCTTTTTTTTCCCCCCCCTTCAAGATTTACATTAGCTGTAGTTCATGAAATAGGTTGTTACATTTGTAATTTCAAAACATAATACTGGGGTTTGAAACTTGATCTGTTTGTTTTTTTTCCTGCCTAGACAATATTTTTAATGTGCTTTGATCTTTAACAGTCATTTCCTAGACTCTCACACCTGACTGCTCTGTAAGCCTTAACAGTTTGAGTGGCTGTTGCTCTTGGTTCAGAGATTCTACTAAGAAGAGGTGTTATGAAGCAGTCCTATGATACAAGTCAGTTAATTAGGAATGGCAAAGAAAAAACACCACTTCTTGTTCACCCCAAATAGATGGGGTGAAATCCCAAATATCAAGAAGCATAAGAAGGTGTTTTATGTCATATAAAGCCTGATACAATCTCAGCTGTATTATCTGCTCTGGTTTTGGAGACAATTTGCAGTCTTAACCAAACAAAATCTCTACAGCAGGATCACTGCTGAGAAAATTCTACCACTGGTTATGTTAACAGTGCTGGAGAGGATGAGTATTCCTGGTTTCAGAACTGGATTTGACAGAGCAACTTGACAGTTAATGGAATGCAGATCAATCTTTGTTCTCCCCTCTCTTTCCAAAAAAAAACTTTCCCTTTCTGTCCAGGCTGGGTGACGTACAGGGGAAAGAAAAAAAAAAATAAAATTAAAAAAATTAGTGACTTGGAGTGCAGTGGAGCACAGTGGATGTGCTCTCTCTGTAATACACGCCTGCTGGCTGTGCAGACCTGAACTCTGGTTCTTGCTAGTTGCTTTCAGTCTTTGAGATTAACATGGTATTGTACAGGGTATTTGAAGTTCATGTGAATTCTTCAAGAACTGGGTCAAAGTTCTTAAAAGATGAATGGGTTGTAGAGTCCCAATTAACCATTGCTACGTAACATCATAATTTGATGCACCACCTTCTCTTCTCTGACCAGCCAAGCTCTACAGGAGAGCAGAAGACTAAGCCCACCCAAAACAGTGTTCGTGAACTCAGAGGTCTTGGTCTCTCACCAGATCTGGTAAGTTTTCCTGTGTGGCTTTGCATTTAAAATATAAGTAATGCTTAGGCTGAGAGCTCTTGTGTATTTGTAATAAATATGTAAAAGTAACAGAGTTGGTTTTTTTCCCCCAAGTCATGGACACTGCAGGAAGACAGCTCTATTAGAGGCTTCTTGCGTGAATGTCTTAGTACTTCTGCTTTGCTTCCCAACTTTGATGTTGCTGTTTTGTTAGATTGTTTGCAGGTGCTCAACTCCATTGGATACCTCAGTAAAAGAAAAGATTTCCATGTTCTGTCATGTTGAACCAGAACAGGTAAATATTACTGCCTGCACTTGCATGCAACAAATATTCTATGGTAGCAGTTTGTCAGATCCTGAGTGGAGTTTCATATGAGTGTTTTGTGTTCGGTGTCTTTGGTGGCTGCATAATTAATTTGCTGCTCTGTCTTACCACATGTAATTGTTAAAAATGCTCCCACTTTCCCATCCACCTGAAGCTTGTAAAATTTTTGTTTTTTGTGAAAGACAGAGTATCATTTCACAATTCCAGGCTCTGTCAAGTATTAATTTCTTACACAAAGAGATCAAACTAGGTCTCCCAGATTCAAGCATTACACCCAGAATTAGCTGACAATATTGATGTTTCAATACTACAGTATCTTCCTCTTACTGGTCAGGAATTGATGGCATGTTGGCTCTTTTCTGTCACTCTCCAGCAAGTTTAATACAGTTTTGCATAGCGGTTTCTCTGACTGCAGTTGCACTTGAATTAAGAAGTAAATTGTATTGACTACAGAGAAGGAAAATTTGCAGCCTAGCAGGCTTTACTGGTGCAGTGTTGAACCATCTGCTTTCATTTGAGTTAGAAATGAGGATTTAAAAATAGTTGTACTGGTATAATTTTGATCCTTAAAGTATAGTCTAATTCTTAATGGGCTGATGACAGTTGTCCAAAGCCCTCTTTTCTCTTCTATAGAAGCCCATTTCAGTCATCTAGAACCATTGATGTAGATGTTCCTTGTGGACCAGAGAAATCTTTGCTTATAGTTATTTAATCCTAAATTTGATGAAAGATATCCTGTAGAATTCATTGCTATATTGAGATCACAGTTTTCCCTGGACTTTAATCAAACTGAGAGCCCTGGTTAAGAACAACAATAGTGGGAAGCAGGGGAGCTGGGCTTGTGGGCACTTTGACTGTAGTTTCAAGGAGAGTTACCAAGAAGGCTGTAGCACAGAAGTCTCTGAAGTGTTCTTAGAGCTTGGCCATGGGCTCACAGAACTTGCATAGCAGCTGAGTTCCTGGGAGGTTATAGCCCTTCCCAGGGAGCTCCAGTGAGCAGGGATACCTGGGCAGTGTTGAAGGGTGACTTTTCAAGTATGTGGAAACTAGTACCAAGCTATTCATATGTTGTTATGTTCTTCAACAGATGTTGTTTCCTGGAAGTTTCTGTGGTCATATGGTTGTCTGCTAGAGATAGAAGCTCTCTGAATATCTGTCTAAAAATAATTACAGAGGCACTTTGATCTGTTTTAATGACATTCATATTGTATGAACAGGTCATCTGTGTTCATGATGTCTCTTCTATCTACCGGGTTCCTCTGTTGTTAGAGGAACAGGGAGTTGTTGACTACTTCAGACACAGGCTTGACCTTCCCATTGAGAGGCAGCCCAGGAGGATGCTCATGAAGTGGAAGGAAATGGCTGACAGGTGAGCTGCACCGCTGGGCATTGCTTGAGAGAAGACTAGATTAGTTTCTCTTCTTGGTTGTTAGTTTTCAGGTGAGGAGTGTTGCTTCATGTTTATTAAATATACTCATGCAGTTGATTCTTTTTTTTCTTATGTTTCCTACAAAAATGCATTTTCTTCCAAGTTTGGAAAAAAAAAATCTTCAACAGGAGAATCTTGTAGGATGTTGCTGAGTTCCTTGTCTTGGATTGGTAGTGTACTGTCCATGTCGGTGGACAACTCCGCCCACCCTTTTTATACAGAAAACCCAGTGACATTGGAAAGTGTTGAAATCCTTTTGTAGGCGTATGTAGGAGTCATCAGGAGTGTAAATAAAAATGTACCTTTTCAGTATGCTTTCTTGAAAGAGAAACAACTGCCTGAGACTCCTGAGACACAGTGGGTTTTCTTGTTTGGGCAGACTCCATGGTCTTGGGCAAATAGTGAATTGAGTCTCTCCAGTTGGCATTCAGGCCGTTTCTGAAGACTTAAATGTATTTGTCCTTATGAGAAAGTAATTCTGAAGATCTAGATGTGTTCCTTTATATGCCTGACACAAGCCACCACTGTGGATAACATTTCCTTTGGATGGGGAAAGCCCTTGGTAACCACTTTGGTTGAGGGGGCTTAGCAGTTCTGAATTAAACTCTAAAAGATCTCTTGGCTGTAGCCAGGAATGCTGTGTAACTCCCAGGTGCTGGGGATTGAAAGTGTGGGCAGTACAACCTTAGGACTCTTCCAGGTCCTTTTGTTTTAGCTGCTGAAGTGAACTTGGTCAGAAGCAGCGTGGGAAATGTGCTGTGTAGTATAAACATACGCAGAGCTGTGCTTTGATCCTCTCTCCTAATAGTTTACTGCAGACTTTGAGTCTAATACAGCATCCTGAAAAGACAGTTTGGATCTACGAAAAAATGGCTTTTCAGCATAGATGAGTTAATTTATACATTACTTTCTGCAACTGCTTTTCGCTGTCATTGCCTTTTTTTCCTTTCTTTTTTTAATCTTGCTTTGATGCTTAAGGCATAATTTTAAAAGGTTGTCTCTTCCAAAGTCATCATCTCTCTGGTTGGGCAGACTTTCAAGAGCCCAACTGTTTCTGTTACTTGGAAAGCTGAATAGAATGTAATTCCCCTGTTTCCTGTTAATGATGAAATAACCCTTGTGTTTTGGTTTTGTTTAGGTACGACCGTCTCCTTGAAACATGTTCCATTGCACTTGTGGGCAAATACATCAAGTTTTCAGATTCCTACGCGTCTGTCATTAAAGCCCTGGAACATTCTGCTCTGGCTATCAACCACAAACTTGACATCAAGGTAGGGCTGGCTGCATGCCTGTAAAATTTTGCCCCCAAACTCCTTCCACTTACAGTGCCACCCATCTTAAGTTTTTTACAAACCAGAGAGGGGGAGTTGATTCAGCCAGTGAACTTTGAAATTGCCCTTGGCTTGCAGCATCTAAACCTGTGTTGTCAGGCATGGAACAGCTGCAGAGCAGAGCAGCCTTTCACCCTGTTCAATGCTCAAAGTGCCTGTGTAATGGATGAGAACTCTCCAGTGCCCAGTGTTGCATACTGCCCTATGACAGAGTGGTGGGTGTATTGGAGGAGAGGCCTGTTGGCTTGTTTTCTCTGACCATTGTTGGAAGTTACCCACTTTTTTTTTAAAGTGTTTTGGTGTTATCCTTGTGGCTCTATGATGTTTCTGCCTCAGGCTTTGCTAAGGTTTTAATGCTGGTTTGGCTGCACAGGTGCTTTCAAGGGTCCTGGTTGTACCTAGATGCTCTGGAGAGATGAAACACATCTGTGGTCAGAATTTTTACTCCTATTTAAATATACTTTTAAAATATCCACTGGTTTCACAGTACGAGGGAAGAGGTGCTTGCTTTATAACAGCACTCTTCTGTGAGTGGGTTCAGAAGGGGCATGGGTTCTGAGAGTCCTGTGCATGGAGATCACATGTTGGGTTAAAGAACTGTTGAGCAGTATTTAAGGGTTAGTAGACTGCTGGAATATTGAGAAGGTCAGAGACAGTGGAATATTGGCCATGAGAAACTGGAAAAATTGCAGTTTTTTCCGTATTTAGCAGTGCTCATAGCATCCTTTAATTACAACAGTCTTGAGTTTCACCATATCCTGTTTGTTCTTCAGTCCCACTTGAAGATGTAATTGTATTTGATGAGATAGTCTTTCAGTCTTTTCTTGCTGTGTGGTTGTTTCTATCTGCCTAGCCACGTGTTCCCATCTGACTGTGTTCCTGTAAGACTTCACATTTAATGAGTCTAGACCTCATGGACTTCATGTATGTCACAGCAGAGCTGCAGAGGGGGAGGGCAGTAAATAAACACAGCTTCTGTTTGTACGTGCATGGTAGGATGGTGGGGAAGATTTCCTGTAGCAGGCAGGAAACCAGCCCAGGAAAACAGAAGAAAATATCCAGTAGGAAACAAATCCAGAGCTATCCAGGAGAAATGGTGATATCTTAATTGAAGGAGAATAAGGACTGTGCTCTTGTGGTAGCATCTCATCATTCTTTCTTGGATTTCTTCCCAGTATATTGACTCTGCTGATTTGGAGCCACAGACTCTCCAGGAAGAGCCTGTCCGATACCACGAAGCATGGCAGAAGCTCTGTGGTGCTGAGTAAGACTCTTAACCTCTGGCCATTTATTTGTAGCATGTCTGATAAACTTGTGGCTGTTGTCAGTTCTGGAATTCAGAGCTTCACTGGAGGCTGTTCTCTTATGCACTCTACCAGCAGACTCTGACATTGCCCCAGATACCTCTGAGTGAAATTTAGAATTAGTTGTAAAGTGGGGAATTGTTAAATAAGTCAGCAGATGAGGATGTGTACAGACTTAGTGGGGAAACAGGGTGAGGGGGGATAAGGAGAAAGGAGAGGTGCTGGCAACAGCTGTTGAAGCCATGGAGAGGACAGAAAGTACAGTTGTGGTATAAAGTTCTTTAGGAAGGAAGTGTGAGAAGGCAAAAAGCATTAGGACACAGAGGAGTGCCAAGGGTTAGCCCAGAACACAAGAACAAGTGGGGCTTGCTAGCCCTCAGGGAAATAGGCTTTGGATGGCACCAGAACAGAGAAGCTCCTGCAGAATTTGGTGCCTGCAGTTAGGACAACTTGACACTGCAGCTGATGGCTTCCTGAGCATGGGCCTAGCTGAGTGATATGTTTGCAAAAGGGTTGGTGAGCCTGTGAGTCATTCTACAGGAACCATTGTAGGATGGTCACCTGCATTCTATTTGGGATTTGGTGGGAAGGTAAAATGTACATTTATAAAATGTTCCTGAAAATTCTGACATTTCACATGAAAGCTCCTGTGGAGTGACACAGAGGCACTGCTGCAGACAGGCCTTGCCACACAGAGCACTTCAAAGCCCTTTTCAGGATCAAAGTCTTGCAAGTTGAAGACTTTACAGAGCAGTGATATGTGGTTGAGGGGAAACACACTGGGGAAACACACTGGGGAGCGTTATGTTAATGGAATCTTTTTATCCTCATGCAGTGGAGTTCTTGTTCCTGGGGGATTTGGTGTTCGAGGGACAGAAGGCAAAATTCAAGCTATTTCCTGGGCACGAAAACAGAAAATACCCTTCTTAGGTGAGAAACATGTGTGATCCCTAAGAAGAAATAAAGAAGGAAGTTGAATAACAGCCTAACTGGTCTGCAGCAAGAGCTTTACTGATTTTTATTAATATCTAGAATGTATGATTTTGAAGATAATTGGCTGAGGAAGGTAATGACCTGTGCTCAGCTTAACTGGGTAGTGCAGCCATCATCTGTAGTTAGCTCTGAAGTGGTTGGAATTGGCTGGGATGTGATGATGTGGAATCTCTGTAAGGAGGGGGTAGAGGATTCTCAGAGGAAGCTTCAGAGGACATTGTGGTGATCTTGGCTCTGTGAAGGTGTGTTTGGTTGGCTGTACAGGCTCAGTGGTCCTTGTCCTGACTTGATGTGTTCTGCCTTCTGCAGGAGTTTGCTTGGGAATGCAGTTAGCAGTTGTGGAATTCGCACGCAGTGTTCTTGGTTGGCAAGGTAACTGCACAAATCCCTTCCTGGGATCTGGTCATTTCTTACCTTGGTATCTTAGATACTTGTAATTTTTAAAATCCCTGTAACTTTAAATTTTCCTTGGTTGGTAGATGTAATTGTTTTTTTCTACACCTATAGAATTCCCCATCTCCTTTACTAATTCAAAGGGAAAAGAACAGTTTCCTTACCCTATTCAAATGAAAACCAATGCAGTAAGGCATGTTTATAATGACAGAGATTCCTATGCAAGTGAGGTTCAGTTCCTGAATAAAACTCCTCAGTGTAGTTGTCCTTGGGTATGCTGGACATCCTAAATTCTCATTGTAGTCAGTGGGAGTGAAAACCAAAAAGCAGTTCAGTCTCTGAGGTAGTTGAACCTACATCAGTGAGTTGAGTTGCTTTCTTGCCTTCACTACTTGACTAGTCCCTGTTGTCAAGACTCCCTTTACATAAATTTAGGGTTTTTGCCTGTTTCTTAGTGTCAGTTGTAGTGCAGGTAGGGGAAGAGCTGTTTCTTGGGGTACTTCTCATCCCTTCCCCATCCCTGGCTTTATTTAAAACAGTCTAAGCTGTTGAATGTGTGTTTTTCCTGAATGACCCTTGTTTTCATCACCAATTGCTCTAGACTGGTTGCCCTGAGATTGCAACCTCCAGGCAGCCTGAGGGCCCCATGTGTGCTGGGGGTGGGGGTGCTGGGCTGTGCCTGAGGGAGATCCTAAAGGACTTCGTTTTTCTAACTGATTAACATAACATTGCAGATGCCAACTCGACAGAATTTGACCCCAAAACTGCTCATCCTGTGGTGAGTTTGTGGCAACTTGCTGTGCTAGACTTGCTCTGCACATACCTGTTGGTGCAGTGAGGAGCTTGGCTTAGTGCATCGTGTGGCTTTTAAGCCTGTCTTCCATCATTTAGTAATCAGAAAAGAAAATGTCTTTTCCTAGTTACACTGTATGGCAGCTGCTGCTTCATAGGGGATCACAGTGCTTATTATAGGTGAAACACTGACACTTATTTCATTTTTATTTTTAATTACACTTTTTCGTGTTTTCTAAGGTAAAGGGTATTTAAAGGACTGTTTGAAAGCTCACTGTTTTCACAGAGTAAATGGCAAAGATTTGTTGGTATCCAGAGTCTTTTGCATAAGTGTTGAATTATGATCTTAGAAATTAACATACTTTAATACTGTGAATTTTTGTGGACAGATTTCTGAACCTGCATTACTCAGGTTTTCTCAGAAAACATGTTATGAAGTTATTTATCGAAGTTGAAGTAACTTTGATTTGGAGATATTCTGTAAAGTTGCATGTTTGTTTACCATTGAGTTCAATCAATAGGACAGTATTAGTGCATGGGATTTGAGGGGGCCTTGGCAGAGATTATTTCCTATGCTAAAGCTTCCTGAGTGCCCACAAACCTTCCATATGTTCTGTACAGCCTTTACTAGAATATCTCAGCTAACTAATCTAGTTCTGTTGATCTGTCTTGTCAAGACAACCTTCCTTGGGGTGGTTTGCTTGTTTTCTGTATGGATCTTTAACATTTCAGAGTCTGCCTGGGACTGTTACTCCTCTCTCATTCTCCCCTCCCTCTGTGAATGCTTTTCACAGGTCATAGACATGCCAGAACATAATCCTGGGCAAATGGGTGGGACCATGAGACTTGGCAAGAGAAGAACACTCTTCCAAACCAAGAATTCAATAATGAGTAAGGCATTTCTTGCCTCTTTTGGAAGTGTTTCCTGGGAATGATGTGTGTGTATGGTGGGTATGGGGAAGTGAGACTTGAGAATGTTCCAGTTTCCTGGAATGGTTGGTGTTTGCAGACTTTGTTCTGGTAGTGAGATGGTAGTTGGTGAATTTGGTCCCCTCGTGATGTGGCAGACTCTGATGGATGCTGTCAGTATGAACTTGCTGGAACTTGGCATTGTGTGAAGTGTTTTTCATTTGCTCTAAGAAATGTCTCCCTCTTGGTGCAGGGAAGCTGTATGGAGATCATGATTTCTTGGAGGAGAGACACAGACACAGATTTGAGGTAAAAATGCTTCTGTAGGTCTTGAGCTTTTCTGTGTAATCCAAACACAAGAGATCCTGGTTTTTCTTGCTTCTGGTCTTCTAGGTCAATCCGGAATTGAAAAAGTGTTTTGAAGAGCAAGGTTTGAAGTTTGTAGGCCAGGATGAGGAGGGAGAGCGAATGGAAGTGATTGAGTTGGAAGGTGAGTACTCAAGGAATTAGTTTTGTGGGTGTAGGTATTTACAAGGGGAAGTGTTCAGAGGGTAATTGAGGAGGATTTTGTCCAGGCTTTCAGAATTATTCCATCCATAGAATTACACTTAAAAAAGGATCCCATGTGACTGTCCATTTAGGGACAAAAGGCAGGATAGAAATGATGCTTCTTTCCCATGATCAGGGCTTTCAACTGCAGTTCAGCCACAGGCTTGAGAGACTTGAAAGTAATGTTTTCTTTTTCTTTCTCTTAGAGCATCCCTTCTTTGTTGGGGTTCAGTATCACCCTGAATTCCTTTCTAGACCAATTAAGCCATCTCCCCCATACTTTGGCCTCCTCTTGGCATCTGCAGGAAGACTCACACATTATCTACAAAAGGGCTGCAGACTCTCACCCAGGTAGGTTGAAGGAAGACACCAATTGGGGCTTTCACAGGGCAGTGCTTCTTCCTACAGGGTAAACTGGGGACTCCTTTTGGCACAGAGTTACTGGGAAGGTATTTGCAGCACCTCTCTGTTCCACTCTGTTTGAAACCTCTTGGCTTGCATTTTAAGGTGGACATCAGGGCATTAGAGCTGGCCTGCAGTGAGGTCCCAACTGCAGGGACAGTAGCTGCAGCCTTGAGCTGACAGTCAGAGATGACTGGAAACCTCACAGGGTTTTCCCCACACTTCTTGTACAAGTCTTTAGGTACTGGTTGGTCCTTAAGAAACTTGTTCCTCTTGCTGGTTTAAAGAATGGGCTGTAGTGGTTGCAGCTTCATTTTTTCCCCCTGCTGACTGAAGCTTTCTTTAGTCTCAGTTTGCAAAGCAACTAATATTTTGGGTAGACTTAATGATGCAGGTACTTGTGCTGCTTTCTGAAACCCTGCAGTTCTGCTCAACATTACTTGGATAGTGACCTGTTTTCCTCCTTACACAGAACACAACAGATTTGCTGGTGTAGCTAGAGTGCTAACATGCACTAAGCAAAAGTTCCCAGACTAAATGCAAAAGGGAAATAGCACTGAGCATATTAAACTAAAGCAATGCATAAAGGAGAGTGTTGGCCTTTCTGGGTGGGGCTCCGATGCAGCTGCACCAGAGGAATTCCAGTGTTGATGTCTGGAGAGCAGCTGTTGGTTGTGCTCTGACTGATCTGCTCTGAAGGGAATTGCTGTGTGAAGAGGCCTCATTTCAATGCTGCAAGTGTTGAGGGATATTTTAATTTCCTGCTTTTGCACGTTTGAGTTTGAAGTGGTTTCTCACAGCAGAGCAGCAAAGTTTCCTCTCTACTGCAACATCCTAAGTTAGTATTATCTGCTCTTGGAGTCCCTTGTGTTTGTGGTCGCAAATTGTTTCACGTTGAGAATATAATCTAAAGAACCTGGTGGCAGTTGTAGCCCCGCCTGTGCTTCCCTTCATTCCTGTACCCTTAAACCTCTTACCAGGTTTTCAGGTAAGTCTCATCATTGCATGTTCATAAGGTCAGCAGGTGACACCAAACTGGGGGAACAGACTATCCACTTGAGGATGGAACCACTGTAAGGAGCTGGGCTGGAGCATTGGGCCAGCAGGAACCTGATGAGGTCTAGCAAGGACAAGTGCAGATTCCTGTGTCTAGGAAGCCCTTGCAGTAAGACAGGCTGGGACTGAGCAGCTGGGGGGCAGAGCTCTGCTAGGGTAGCAAGTGAGCTGAACAGGACCCAGCAGCTGTGCTGGCAGCAGGGGGGGTGAGAGGCAGCATGGGCTGTGTGAACACGAGCACAGCCAGTAGGTGGAGATAAGCGATTATGTCTCTGTCCTTGGCATTTGTTGGACCACATGTAGAATATTCTCTGTGGTTTGGGGTCACCCGGTGCAAGTCAAACATTAATTGGAGAGAGTGGAGGCCGCTAAGAAGGTCAGGAGGTTGGAATATGTGCCCAGTGAGGAAAGGGTGAAGGAGCTGGGCTGGAGAAGGGAAGATTATGAGCAACCCAAGAACAGCCTTCCAGCACCTACAGAAACATCAGCAAGATGAGCACAGGGTCCTTACAGAAGTTCATGGTGGGAGGATGAGACACAGTGGACATAAGCTGAAAGAGAGGTTCTGAGGAAAAATGTTTTCAGCATTAGATCAGTCACACACTGGTGCAAGTTTCCCAGAAAGGCTGTGCAATCTGTGTCCTTGGAGAAGTTTGGAATGTGACTGGATGGGCCCTGAGCAGCTGTGTCTGATCTGGTAGCTGTCCTGCTGCTGTCACTGGCCTGGGGTCCTTTCCCATCTGCATGATTTTGTGATTCTGAAAAAGCTGTTTAATGGATTAAAGACAATTGGCTGTTACTGGTGAGCTGAAATAGAATGGTTATAGCTGGTTAACCAATCTCATGTTAGTTCCATTTAGAATAACTCTGCCTTATAAGATGCCTGTTATGTGTATAATCATTTTAATTCACAAACCTTAAAACTGATGATGACTCAGCCCTATTTCGAAAGGGACAGTTAAATTAGGAC